GTGTGTGTGTGTGTGTGTGTGTGTGTGTGTGTGTGTGTGTGTGTGTGTGTGTGCGCGCGTGTGCGTGCTTGTGTGTGTATGTGTGTGTGTGTGTGTAATGTATGTATAAACAATGCTTAACGTTAAGAAAGTTCTCGATGTAGTATTTTTGGATTGAGAAAATGGTATTTCATAAGGTAGATAGGAGAGCAATGTGGTAGATGTTGCAAGAGAATGGAATAGATGGTAGGTTACGTAAACCAGTTAACGGTTTTTATGTGAGGCTCAAGGTATGTAGGAGAGAGGGAGATTGTTTTCCTGTAAAGTAGGCCTTAAACGGGAATGCGTGATGTCACCATAGATGTTTAACACATTTTTAGATGGTGTTGTAAAAGAAGTGAATACTAGAGTGCTGGGGAGAGGTGTGGGATTAAAAGATAAAGAATTTAATACAGCGTTGGAGTTGTCACAGATGCTTTTTGCTGATGATGCTGTGCTTTTAGGGGATTCTGAGAGAAGTTGCAAAGGCTGGTAGACGAATTTCAGAGGGTATGAAAAAGAAGGAAATTAAAAGTGAACATGGGAAAGAAAAAGATGAGAGTAACATTATAGGTCATGAAATACTGGATATGAGCTTGGAAGGAGGGTTTGCTGATCTGGGGAGGAGGGGATTAGTGAGGTGAGTTTGTTGAGGGAAGATTTCCAGAGGTGGCATATACCCAAATAATTCAGCAGATCCTTAATAAATACAGTAATACGGCAAATCCTAGCACAAATCCCTATATAACCGAGTAATGTTTAAGTCCTTATCAAAATACACTAGAAAATTTCACTATAAGCAGTCTTATAAATCCCTCCCGTATGTCAGTAATCAAGTAAATCCTTAGCAAAAGACAATTTAGGAATTCCCTAATACAGACAATACTCACGACGGTAAGGTGGAGAAGAATTCCTAAAATTATCCAGCTACATCCTAAATATAATTCTTTGAAAGTCACCTTTATGCAACTTGCCAGATGTTTCATCCTGACCGACACATCCAATACCCATTCATACGACACTCGGCGGATTTGCATGTGAAGATGGGACGAGGAGGTAGGAAAACCCAGGATGATTAGGAAGAGGAGGAGGGGGAAGAGGAGGAGGAGGAGGAGGTGGTGGTGGTACTACTACAAGAGGAAGATGATTTGGAGGAAGAGGAGAAAGAAAAAATAAGAAACTGCGTTATAAAGGAAGGCTAAACACAGTGGAGAGTCGAAGGGAGATGGAAGAGGATAATTAGAGAAGAGTAAATACAAGAAAAAATGAGCAGAAAAAAAGGAAAACGAGAGAGAAAGGAGTGGTAAAAATACTAAAAATGAAAGAAAGGAATGAAAGAAAAATACACACACACATACACACCACACACACACACACACACATACATAAAACACACACACATAACACACACACATATACACACACATATAACACACACATATACACACACACATACACACACACATACACACACATACACACACATACACACACACACATACACACACACACATACACACACACACACACACACACACACACACACACACACACACACACACACACACACACACACACAAACAAAACTCACTGGGATAAATGCAATCTTCCCACACGGATATCAGATCCTGAGGAAGGATAGAAGGAGCAGGGGAGGAGGAGGGGTTGCACTACTAATAAAAACCCGGTGGGGTTATCAAGAAATGGAAGGTATGGACGAGATTGGAGAAATGGATTACATAGTAGGTACAGTCCAGTCAGGGGAACACAAGGTAGCCATTGCAGTGATGTATAACCCACCACAGAACTACAGGAGGCCAAGAGAGGAATATGATGAGTGCAACAGAGCAATGGTGGACACTCTAGCTGAGGTGGCAAGAAGGGCTCACTCAAGTAGAGCGAAGTTACTGGCCATGGGCGACTTCAGTCACAGGGAGATTGATTGGGAAAACCTGGAGCCACGTGGGGATCCCGAAACATGGAGAGCCAAGATGATGGATGTGGTGCTGGCAAATCTCATGCACCAACATGTTAGGGATACTACCAGAGAGAGGGGGGAAGATGAACCAGCAAGACTGGACCTCGTGTTCACCCTGAGTAGCTCAGAATTGAGCACATCACATAAGAAAGATCCCTTGGAGCTAGTGACCACGTAGTTATGAGCCTTGAATACATCGTGGAACTAAAATTGGAGAGGGTAACAGGAGTAGAAAGGGAAAAGCTAAACTATAAAAGGGGGGACTACACAGGAATGAGGATCTTCCTGCAGGAGGTTCAGTGGGAACAGGAGTTGGTAGAAAAATCAGTAAACGAAATGATGGACTTTGTAACAACAAAATGCAAGGAGGCAGAGGAAAGGTTTGTTCCCAAGGGTAACAGAAATAATGGGAAGGACAGAACAAGCCCTTGGTTCACCCGAAGGTGCAGGGAGGCAAAAATTAAGTGCTCTAGAGAATGGAAAAAGTACAGAAGGCAAAGGACTCAGGAGAATAAAGAGATTAGTCGACGAGCCAGAAACGAGTATGCACAGATAAGAAGGGAGGCGCAGCGGCAGTATGAAAATGACATAGCATCGAAAGTCAAGTCTGATCCGAAACTACAGCCACATCAGGAGGAAGACAACAGTCAAGGACCAGGTAATCAGGCTGAGGAAGGAAGGTGGGGAGCTCACAAGAAATGACCAGGAGGTATGTGAGGAGCTCAGCATGAGATTTCAGGAAGTATTTACAGTGGAGGCTGAAGAGACAACGGGAAGACAAAACAGTGGGGTACAGCAACAAGGGATATACTAACAAGTGTTGGATGAATTACACACAACTGAGGAGGAGGTGGAGAAGCTCCTAAGTGACCTTGATACCTCAAAGGTGGTGGGACCGGACATCTCTCCATGGGTCCTTAGAGAGGGAGCAGGGACACTACATGTGCTGCTAACCAAAATCAACACTTCCCTTGAAACTGGGCAACTACCTGAAGTATAGAAGAAGGCAAATGTTCTCCCCATCTTTAAGAAGGGAAACAGAAATGAAGCACTAAATTATAGACCAGTGTCACTGACATGTATAGTATGCAAAGTCTTGGAAAAGATTATCGGGAGGAGACTGGTGGAGCACCTGGAGCGGAACAAGATTATAAACGACAGCCAGCACGGATTCATGGACGACAAATCCTGTGTCACAAACCTACTAGAGTTTTATGACAAGGTAACTGAAGTAAGAAATAAGAGGGAGGGGTGGGTTGATTGCATTTTCTTGGACTGCAAGAAGGCCTTCGACACAGTTCCTCACAAGAGATTAGTACAAAAGCTAAAGGAACAGGCACGTATAACAGGAAGGGCACTGCAATGGATCAGAGAATACCTAACAAGGAGGCAACAGCGAGTCATGGTCCGTGATGAGGTATCACAGTGGGCGCCAGTGACGAGCGGGGTCCCACAGGGGTCAGTCCTGGGACCAGTGCTATTCTTGGTATATGTGAACGACATGATGGAAGGGATAGACTCAGAAGTGTCCCTGTTTGCAGATGACGTGAAGTTAATGAGGAGAATTAAATCAGATGCGGACCAGACAGGTCTACAAAGAGACCTGGACAGGCTGGATGTGTGGTCCCGAAACTGGCTCCTAGAATTTAACCCCACCAAATGCAAAGTCATGAAGATCGGAGGAGGGCAAAGAAGACCGCAGACAAAGTTTAGGCTAGGAGGCCAAAGGCTGCAAACCTCACTCAAGGAGAAAGACCTAGGAGTGAGTATATTACCGAGTACATCGCCAGAAGCACACATTAACTAGATAACTGCTGGGGCATATGGGCGCTTGGCAAACCTGAGAATAGCGTTCCGGTACCTCAGTAGGGAATCGTTCAAGACTTTATACACGGTGTACGTCAGGCCCATACTGGAGTACGCAGCACCATTTTGGAACCCACATCTGGTCAAACACGTCAAGAAATTAGAGAAAGTGCAAAGGTTTGCAACAAAGCTAGTTCCAGAACTAAGGGGAATGTCCTATGAAGAAAGGTTAAGGGAAATCGGTCTGACAACACTGAAGGACAGGAGGGTCAGGGGAGACATGATATCGACATACAAAATACTACGTGGAGTAGACAAGGTGGACAGAGACAGGATATTCCAGAAATGGGACACAGAAACAAGGGGTCACAATTGGAAGCTGAAGACTCAGATGAGTCAAAGGGATGTTAGGAAGTATTTCTTCAGTCATAGAGTAGTTAGGAAGTGAAATAGTCCGGCAAGCGATGTAGTGGAGGCAGGAACTATACATAGTTTTAAGACGAGGTATGATAAAGCTCATGGAGCAGGGGGAGAGAGGACCTAGTAGCGGTCGGTGAAGAGGCGGGGCCAGGAGCTGAGTCTCGACCCCTGCAACTACAATTAGGTGAGTACACACACAAAGAAAAAGGAAAGGATGGATATATATATATAATATATATATATATATATATATATATATATATATATATATATATATAATATATATATATATATATATATATTATAATATGCGCAGGCTAGTGTCACGAGTGTACGTGTTCCTTTATAATTACAGAGAATAATCTCACACGTACATGTAAAAGAAAAAAAAATATTAAAAACACGATTTTGTCTCACACGCGACAAAATAAAATTTTAATGTACAATTCCTGGCAGATGAAACAAGTCGACATGAAAAATATTAAATACCGTGAGTTAAATATTACGATATTAAATAATGTGGGTTAAATGATCGAATATTAAGTATCATGGGTTAAATGATTGAATATTAAATACCATGGGTTAAATGATTGAATATTAAATACCATGGGTTAAATGATTGAATATTAAATACCATGGGTTAAATGAGTGAATATTAAATATCATGGGTTAAATGAGTGAATATTAAATATCATGGGTTAAATGATTGAATATTAAATACCATGGGTTAAATGAGTGAATATTACTGTGGGTTAATAAGGCAAACCAAGACACTGACCATTTGTGAGTTGTTCTCCGAGTGGGATGAGCAGGGGTACCAACACGTTCACCGCCATCCTTCCCTTCACCGGTAACACTGGCTATTCGCTGAACGGTTGGCACACCTGAAACGGAAAATAAATATGGATAATCATGGGTGGACAAAACCTTGGATGTAACGACACACGAAACACCGGAAGCCGTTATTATAACAACCTTCCGCTGAAGGAGAGAACGTTATATGCAAACCGGAAGTTCTCTCTCGTAAGTGCGCTGAGGATTTCCTTTAAACCTTATTTTAGGGATTTAAATCACTGAACCATGAAAAATCCCCTACCATAAAAAATAATGAAGATAAACAAATTCATAAATCTCTACTGCTTTTTTTTTAACCTTAAGTAAAGAAAATGATGGTCATTGGGCATGAAGAAATTTTGATCATTTTCAATAATTATTCTCTTTGCAGAAAAAAATATCTAAGATACATTAGAAAACAGACAAGTTTCTTCTCAGCCAGTAGACCTAACAGACTGAAAAATGTCAGAATGTTTATTGAAGGTAGATGGAGTTGAATGATGTTTAGCTTGACATGTATGATATTACCCGCAGCGTTAAATTTTTAATCACAAATATTGTGTGAGTTTCAATACAGGAATATTATTTCTTCTTTTTCTTATTTTCTTCTTCATATGATTTTTATTATATTTATTATCACCGGGCGTCTTCCACCGACGGAGGGTAAACCGAGAAAGGAAGAGATATTGTCAACCGTCATTCATTCAATTACTGTCTTGCCAGTAGCAGGTTCAGATGGCCCTCCGAACTGCAGCATCCCCACCCCTCCTTCAGAGTGCAGGTAATGTACTTACCTCCTCTATGACTCGAGTCCGGCTAACAAGTTTCCCTGAATCCCTTTATATAAATGTTTCCTTGTTCACACACTAACAGGACTCCAAATCATAAAAATCACTTGCTTCTACTCACTTCTATCTAACGTGCTCACACAAGCCTGCTGGATGTCCAAGTTCCTAGCTTTGAAAGCCATTACCACCTCCCTGCAGCCCTTCCCATTATGACCCGTATCCCTCCCTCCCTCCACCCTAGATTTATATGCCCTCCTAGTTATCCAGTCTTGCTTCATCCTCTCTAAATGTCCAAACCATCTCAACCCCTCTCTGCCATCTGAATAATGCTTTTAGTAACCCTTTTCTAATCTACATTCTCTGAATTCTTGCATAATATTCACACCTCTTATTGGTCTCAAAAACATTTCCAATGCTTCCGGCCTCCTCCTCAATTCAACACTCAAATTCCATGGTTCAAGCCCACATAACATCATTGGTACTACTATAATGTGGTATATTCCTCATTTTGCCTCCTTGGATAAGGTTCTTTGTCTCCACAGATTCCTCAGTGAATTGCCCATCTTTTTTTCTCCTCGTGAATTCTATGGTTCACCTCTTTCACAGACCCGCCTGCCGACACGTCCCCTCCCAAATATCTGAACACATTCACTTCCTCCATACTATCTCCCTTCAGTCTGCTAGCTAATCTTTTATTACCTAAGTTGTTTCTGTAGTTGCTCTTATTACCTTTCTCTTTCCTATGTTCACTTATAAGTTTCTTCTTTTACAGTCTCTCCCAAATTCATAGACTCATCTTTTGCAACATTATTATCATTATTATTATTATTATTATTATTAATGGTAGTGGGTTTCAGGACTTTTTTGACGTCATTAGTACGTAATCACGTACATTTTTATAGACGGGAAATTAAATAATATTTGGTTAGGTTGTGTTCGTTAGGTTAGGATTAATTACCCAAGAATAACCTTTACGGTGTCCCGTAGCTCGATCGCTTGCGCACTCAACTCGCACACAGGTCCGGAGATCGAATCAACGGTACGGCTGGAAAACATTAGGACGCGTTTTCTTAAGACATCTGTTGTCCATGTTCACCCATCAGTAATAATGGGTACCTGGGTGTTAGTCGACTGGTGTGGGTCGCATCCTGGGACAAAACTTACCTAATTTCCCCGAAATGCTCAGCATAACAAGCGGCTTTCTATGTAGTAGTATGTCATTAATGTCAGGTAAGCCTGTATACCTTGAACATGTAGAAATTAAGATACTTATCCCATACATCCAAAATATAACAATAATCAATGTACAACTCAATATCGAAGAATTTACAGAAGAAAACATCAGCCCCCAAAAGTGGACATTAACCTTGTTATTGAAATCGTTAACAATAATAATATTTGGCAGTGCACGGAGTCAAAGCATAACATAGCTTCCACAAGCCACAAGCTGCACTCCCTTGTTTGTGCTCCGATATTAGTTTATATGATGTATTTAGGAGATGCCTCACGTGTACTAATTAGACACATTAACTAATTAGTCTGGAATTAAATATTGCAGTAATACTTTCATGATAAATATTTCAAAAACGCAACCGGGGAAAAAAATATTCGTACTTGTCCTGTATATTGTTGGGAAAAATATCTATAAATTCCTTAAAACTCTTAAGAAAAAAATCCTTTCTCATCTTTATTTGGAAAAGTGAACAGAAATATTCTGTAAACTGGTATATATTTTTTCTTCAATAATGGACTAGAAATTCTTAATATGGCATTAAATTAATAAAGGCTGCCTTCGAATTTTGGTGTTAGAATAGTAACATTAAATTTCTGTAAGTTAAATAATTTGTGGAATCTGTTAACTTATTTTTAATTAGTCTTAGAAACGGATAATTCAAGGATTCCTTAAACTTCGTTAATTTTCAGATGTTGTGTAGTTCTGAAGTTAAAATTATTACGTTACGGAAAACTTCTCTCAAATGAAATATTGATGATATATAAACCATATGAACATAAGAACGAAGGAACACTGCAGAAGGCCTACTGGCCCATGCGAGGCAGGTCCAAGTCTCCTACCGGCTTAAGCCAATGCACCCAACCTAGTCAGGTCAGGACACATTGACTTAAGGGAGGAACACGGCAACCTACCTGGTAGCACAAGCTATCAGGTCTAACTCACACCCACCCACATCTACTCATGTATTTATCCAACCTATTTTTAAAGCTACACAACGTTCTGGCCTCTATAACGGTACTTGGGAGTTTGTTCCACTCATCCACAACTCTATTACCAAACCAGTACTTTCCTATATCCTTCCTGAATCTGAATTTTTCCAACTTAAAAGCATTGCTGCGAGTCCTGTCTAGGCTAGATATTTTCAGCACACTATTTACATCCCCTTTATTTATTCCTGTCTTCCATTTATACACCTCAATCATATCCCCCCTAATTCTACGTCTTTCTAGAGAGTGCAGTTTCAGGGCCCCTAGTCTATCCTCATAGGGAAGGTTTCTGATACATGGGATCAACTTTGTCATCCTCCTTTGTACATTTTCCAGAGAATTTATATCCATTCTGTAATACGGTGACCAAAACTGTGCAGCATAATCTAAATGAGGCCTAACCACACTTTTTTTTTTTAATCATTCCCCCCAAAAATGAAGGCATACGATTTTTTTTTTAGTTGAGGCAATGGATGAGTATGTGACCGGCGGGGCGTCAGTTCTGAAACCACTGAGTTTTTAATTCCTAAGAACGTCGGCCTGCTAGACGCGGGTGAGGGGAATCTCTTTGATCCAGGAACTGAACTTGCTTCTTCTTTGGGTCGAATGTGAATGCCTCTCGTTCTCCTAGGCTCAGCATGACCCCTACGGACTTAGCACTCCTCCCACGGGTACGGACCTCACCCATTCCCTCGAGTGAATAATCACTCTCTCGAGTGAATAATCACTCCCTCGAGTGAATAATCACTCCCTCGAGTGAATAATCATTCCGTCGAGTGAATAATCATCCCATACGACTGTCTGAGTTCATATGACTCACGAAATCGTAATGACCGCGGGTTCAATCCCGCCCGTGGTATGGTCTCAGTTCATAATTTTTCAGTGCGTCATTTAATCTAAAAAATTATGACTTTTATTTAAGTATGCTTGTGTTTGCTGAGGGTTTGCTGTGATTACTTGTTTTGAGCTGTCTTGTTCGCGTATGCTTGTAGGTAAAGAGTATTTTATTAGTTAATTTGCGGAATTAAATGTTAACAATGTGACTAAACTTGCATGTATGCTTTAGGTATATATTTTTTTTATGTACACTTCCTGTTTTTAAGTGTACTTGCTACCCTGGAGTTTATTTGCTGTCTCGTTACTTTGAGGAGAGAATAACTTTATTTCCTTTATAAGTTTTCGTTGTCTAGGTTCACTAGTTTTCTCTAAATTAAACTGATTATGTTAAATAAATGTGATTTTCCCCAATTTTTTTGTAGTTGTACTGCCTTTGTGTTATTGCTTCTTAGAATTCTTGAAGGTTGTTGCAAGTTGTTAAATACAGAGATGAAATTAAGACACATGTGCAACATCTGGGTATCTTTATTGTAGACGTTTCGCCAACCAGTGGCTTTATCAATACAAATTCTAGGACATAACTTGAAGACAGTAGGACTATATACAGAAAATGAGGTAATCAGTCCCTCAACCTAGGAGTAGGTGCGAAGAGCACCGCAGTCGTGGAGATTCTGAAGCAGAAGCAAGGAGCCTGGCGTTTATATAGTAACGTCAGGTGTAGCAGACGAGGGCATAGTCACTGGTAGGCGGGATTCCCCAGTGGAAGTAGGTCCTTCCCAAAGAGATGGGTTAGTTGTAGAAGTAGTTGTCGTAGCCGAGAAGGTTATGTACATGTCCTCAGAATCAAGATTCCATGATGTTGCAGTGTCTGACAAGTTGTATAAGAATGGTGTAGCAGACGAGGGCACGACAACTACTTCTACAACTAACCCATCTCTTTGGGAAGGACCTACTTCCACTGGGGAATCCCGCCTACCAGTGACTATGCCCTCGTCTGCTACACCTGACGTTACTATATAAACGCCAGGCTCCTTGCTTCTGCTTCAGAATCTCCACGACTGCGGTGCTCTTCGCACCTACTCCTAGGTTGAGGGACTGATTACCTCATTTTCTGTATATAGTCCTACTGTCTTCAAGTTATGTCCTAGAATTTGTATTGATAAAGCCACTGGTTGGCGAAACGTCTACAATAAAGATACCCAGATGTTGCA